TTTCTGAGTAATTCTGATTTTCTATCGAATTGTATCACCGTAAATTACAACCTTCATCAAACTGTGTAGCCAATTCAACTGAGTAGTTTTTTTTATGAAAGTGAAAACCAGTGTGTAGACTTCCTAAAGTCTGCAACAATACATTGTGTCCAGTTCAGAATCAATTTTTTGATCAAAAAAAGATGGAATATACTCTTGAATCGAACATTTTAGATTTCTCGGAATAGAAAGTTCCTAAATCAAATGACAATCTCGCATTCTATTAGTTTTATATTATCTATATAATTTTGATAAGTTAGTTTCACACAGTCTCCAGTCCTTTGTCGAATATACGTACCTTTCGACACTTCGCCAGTATCTGTAATCGTAATGATAACTTTTTTCACTTGATGGCATTGTGATATTATTTCTAAAGCCTTGGTGAAAGTAAAGTTTCTATCGATCTGAAGCATTAGTCTTTGAACACTACTATAATAGCCATTTAAATAATTCGTTCCACATGATAGCTTCTTATTTATTAAATCAGGAAAATCAAAAACAGGAAAATACCATGGTAAAGTATGAAGAAATAATAATGTTTCTTCTTGAAAACACACAACCGGATGAGATGATGACCAAGAGACAAGAATATCATCAGTCGAATCAACATCCATATTATGAATGAAGTAAGTAGCGTAGTGAAAATGTTGAACAGTAGAAGGCAGTGAAGGAAGAATTGTGTTACCGTCGACAAGACGTCTATCATGTGTTAAAAGATAAAGTGATAGATGTTTTACTATTGGTAACTGAGCGAACAGAAGAAGCAATTCTTCAAGTGTCCATGGTTCCATAATGGATTTCAATTCGAAATTTGTAAGATGAAGGAGAGGTGGTAAATTCTGGCCAAACGTATCTTTCGTTGAATCATAGTTGTCATGAATTATTACATCTAGATATTGAACATTTGGAACAGCATGAAAGAGAGATGATAAATCTGTCCTTGTTCGTAAATTGATGCGTAATCGAATAATATTCAAGTAAGAATCATTTTGTTGAAAGTGTAAACATGTTGAGTCATCATCCATTAGTATTGTTGTGAGTCGATGATTGTTTGCTTGAAACAATGACCGAACGACTGTTGATTGTTTGGCCTGAGATATCCAATAGAGAGAATATAAACGAATTTCAACAAAATGATTTAAATCATGTAAACTATCAAGAAGAGCAATTAACTGATTGTCTTCATATGCAACAAGACTGATTCTTTCCAATTGAGGAAACGTTATTGAGATTTTGTTAGCAAAATATTTGATGAATAAATCATCTTGTAATACTGAATAACAACAATCAATGAGTAATGAACGAATTTGAGAACCTATTTGAGGAAATATATTGCCACATAAATAATCGCTTTGGGAAAGAGATGTTTTATGTAATGAAATATGATGTCGATATTGAGTAATCATTTGTGTTATTCGATAACTAAGTCCAGTCAAAGACACAAGAATATCTGCACATGATAAATATTTACAGATTTGTAATAGAATTTCATCTGGAAGAGTTTCCAACGTTAATTTATTGAATGAAGTTGTCATCTACGAATAAACAATTTTATCAATTGAACTGACGAGGAAACATTTTCAACTGTCAAATCGCTTTTGAGTTCGGACTCTGTGTATAAGATAGACCCCAGTGAGGTATGAAAAATCTCAAAAGTGTATGGGTGTCGATCTTCTTATCACTCACACCCATACCCTGATCATTCTATTATTGTTTGTGACATTATGATGGTGTGGAAGACTATCAAACATTGTCTGATAGATTATTAAATGCAGGAATTCTGCGCGATTTACATTTAATAGAAATGAAATTTTATTTCACTTTAAAATTTAAGTTTAGTTTAAATTCATTTCAATTTTATCTAGATATGTTTCAAGTATTTTTGATTCAAGTTAAACAGCTAATACCAGTTTTTCTCCTTATTTTCAGTTTAATTTTCCTTTTAAATCATCTATCCTAATAATTGGATAGATAAATTCAAGTTTACAAAAGTTCTTTGATATCAGAAACAAATTCTAAAAAAAAAATTAACGAAAACTTTAACTTGAAATGGATGATAATTTAAATTTAACAAGAAAATTTTATGCTGAACAGTAATCAAAAATGAACCAGTAAAACTTGTTTCGATATCGGTCATTGTTTTTATTTCAATTCATGTAAACAACCTTTGCATTCTCAGTGAAGTACAACTATTGAATTAAGAAACGAATACTTGCTATTAAATGTTGTTCTGAGAATTTTTACAGCTTACGACTGTTTATGAAACACGATTTTTCTAAAATAGTAAAACAAAATCGTTCGCTTACAGAGACACTTCGAAAAAGAAGTAATCGAAAAATTGAGAAGTTTTTAAAAAATGCAAGAAGCTTAACGCGTTTTTATCGTAGAAAAAAACCAAAAATGAAAATCACAAATTTGTTTTTTTTTGTATACACACACACTTCATATTCTATATTATACAAAATACTGCAATAAATATTGTATGACGCATATATTTATTACACGGTCAGTCTAACGCTTAGCAGTAAATGCATGTGACGAATAGCAGGCGTGAGAATACGTTTTTGAAAATTTCGATCGCTATTCTTTGAAATAATAAAGACTGATATTTTAGTGTAATTTAGTTTTAGAGTTTCAGCCGCATCTCTGATTCAGAAGTGATCAGTGTTGGGTGACTACAAGAATGCAACAATGGCTGATTTGAAGCAATAGAAGTCTTTCACCAATTTTTTCGTATTTTTCTCCGCTGTAAGAAGCCATAGATACCGATGAATAGCGTCATCTGTACAAACGAAATATTTTTTTGAAAAACAATCTGTATGTAGTTCGAACAAGAATAACTTTTTTACCTTTAGAACGATCTAGGACGCCTGTCAAAAATGAAAATGAGGATTACAAGTGCATTTCTTGGTATTCTTTCGTCATTTTATTCATGCTTCCGTTGTCTATTCGGGGTGTGAGTGTGGGTGTGGATAGTCCTTTCTTCCAAACACCCACATCCTCGTAACACGATCAGTACTATACATTAACTAATAGCATTAGTTAATGTATAGTATAAGCCGTGTTACAATAATGCTTCATAGGAAGCTATTTCACATCCGATTTTGCATATTGGTGGTACAATGTGTTTTGCTTCTTCGAACCATGCTGATGGAATTTTATTTACTTAATTCATTCGAAATATCGGATAATTATATCAATAAAATTGAAAGTGAATATAAAATCGTTCTTATTTTAATAGTTTTCTTGAGTATTTATCATCATACTTTAATGAATTATCTGAAATTCATTGAAGTTATATTTTGGCAAGATATTCTTCTTCAAAGGTGATGTACGAAAAACAAAAATTTTTTAAAATTGATTAATTCTTTTACGAACGAATCTACATTAATTGAACGATTACGACAAGAATACTTTCTTAATAGATAGAAATAATTTATCAATAAATACTTATTGTTGACATTGAATAACCATTGAACGATTCTTCACGAGTTTAGATAAGAAAACATTTATTTATTTTTTTTGAACCAATTATAATATCAAAATGGTCAAGCTCAATTCACTCAAATCAATGACTCTGATAAGATTTCTACATATGATAATATATTAAATCAATATAGGAAAAATTCACTCGTTTATGGATTTGTACATAAAGCATTCGTACAAGAAATATTCGATGTCGATGTGAGTCATAGATGAACTAGTAGGTATATTACTCTATACTTAAAGGGTAGGTACTTTGAAAGTGAAAAACGATTACTTTCATTCATTTTTTATATAATTTGACTGATGTAACCTTAACGATTATTCCAAATAGGCCCATAAAAAGATTGAGTATATTGGACGAAACTAGAATTGTAATTTTGACAGTAACACATATTTATTACAAATTATTTATCATTGTGAACATAATTATCATATAATACATACTAGTTTACAAAGAAATAATTTCGATTTATTCAAGAAAACTATTTGATTATACTTTTGGTAACAAAGTCATACAAGAATGGCACAATATAAATGAATCTAGGATCTAGTCAGATACTACTTAAACTTCTTCCCTTGAAAATAAGATCTTCAAGCTATGGTATGATGTTTAAACTAAAACGTTGTGCACAGATTGCGTATATCGTTTATAAATTTTAGAGTTTCTTCCATTTATCAACGATATCTGATTACCTGGATTGAAAAGATCTTTTTCTTTTTGATTTTCTTCTTTCTTTAATAGCTAAGTTTTGATAAAACGCATACACATTTTTGATTACAAGAATGGTTAACCCTAAATATGAACTTTCAAGCCAACAACAATATTTAGTTTTATCTAGTACTGTAATAGAATCTCTTTGAACATACATTGTTCCAATAGAGTTAGAAGATACTAGACACTGTTGAAGGTGTCTACTTTTGTAACCTGTCACTATTCAAATAAAAAGATAAAAATGTTTCTCTAAAAATTCATATTTTTTTTTAAACCAACGGTGCAATCATTTTCTAAACAAGCAAAAAAAAAATGATTTCCTGTTCCAAATTTTTTTTTTTTTTGAAAGCGCTAGATTCTAGTTTCAATTTAATCTAACGAATAAATCATTTAAATTAAGTTTTCGAAATATTTTGTCAAGTTTAATCCAAACTAAAGCTTTCTCTTTTATTACATTGGCATTTTCGTTTTTCTATTCAACAGTTTAATTGATAGTAAAATCTTGTTTTTGTTTAAAACAAACAATAACAATTGAAGAATGACATTCAATCAATAAATATATTTCATTGAAATTATTTTTTTTTTGTTCGTTTAATAAAGGTGTAAAAACTAAGCAACTAAAATCTATTTGTTGACTCTTCCATTAACATAACTAGTACTGTTTTTTTTTTTCTTTCTCTTCTTTTCCGACATACTCTCATTGTCTTATTAAAACATATGCACACAAACGTTTGCAATCGTTTTTTACTGAGTACAACCATAAATGACTGAAATGTTTTCACAATTTTTAATATTATGTCTACTTTTGTCTATCGTTTATTTTAATTATGGTATGAAATTTAATATGACTAATATACATTAAAAAAAAACTAAACAGCTTAATTAAATATAGGTTCTGGTCAATTAATTTGTTGGCGATGTGATCCATGTCCCGAACCACATAGTAATACATCATCATTGGTTTCAGCTGTTACTTGTACATCATCTCAAACTATTTGTGTAGTAAGAAAATTAATAAAAAAAAAAAATTTAATTCGTTTTTTTTTTTTGTTTTTGTAAGAAAAATACTGTTCGAATTCTTAATCGAGCACCACAAATATCTAAAGGATGTGTTTCATCTTGTACTCCAAGTTCATCGAATTTTTTTGGTCAAGGTGCATTTGTTGATTGTTGTAATACTAATTATTGCAATTTATCAACACGAAATCAATTATCATCATCGATCTATTTACTTTTTATTATCATATTCACATTCATTTTCTATCATTAACAAAATTGACATTGTTTATTTTAATTTATAAACTTCTTAGTATTTTATTTATTTCCAAAATGAAAATATTGCTGAAAGCTTTATGATTTTTTTTGTTTTTTACATTATTATAATTCGAATTGTTATTAATAAGACATCGATTTTTGTAAACATTCATTGTCACTCTTGATTTTAAATCAATGATAGTATATATTAATAAGTTTTCTATTGTATTTAATAATTATTTTGAGAACGAAAAAATTTGTAAATATTTAATAAAAACACTATATAGAGAAATATTTTAGAATATTATTTTATATATCAAAAAAAAAAAATATAAATATCCATTACTTTTTAAATTTAGTACTTCAAATCATATTTATAAGAGAATACTTTGTTCGTACTACTACCATTATAGTACACATTAGATCGAACAACCTACCGGTGGTTTTTTTTGTGTGGTCTACAATCACATATGAATGATAATCATGTTTATCAAGAATAACTAAAAAAAATCAATTCATGCATTTATGATAACATTAAGATCATCATTTAAAATTTTCATTTATCTAACGATTATAATGTATGTGTTAGCATTAAAATATTTTTCGTCTACAATAAAAGATACAATTTATCATAATCAAAATAATTGAAAATAACTGATAGTTTGAATAAAAATTTTTCTTATAAAATGAATACACTGTCAAAAGAGGAGAGCAATTCCATGACAGCGTTTTCAATATTATCGGCTGATCATTGAATCGTTCTTCCTTTATTATACAGCTAATACAATACAAAAAAAAACACCTCATACAATCAGATGTAAATATCTTTAAATTATCGATGATATGAAAGGAAGAAAGAAGAGAGCAATCCCCATGACAATTTATCTTTAATATATTGTCTAATTATCAAGAAGAGCTCTCTCCTCTACTTGAAAACCTTTCCATATTTCAATACATACCATTTTTTTTTTAATTTGAACACAATTTCTATGCAACTAACACATAGGTGGTGTTGAGTATATATATATATATATATCGATGCACACGAAGATAATGAGAAATAAAGTTAACCGAGCATCGTCTATTGGTATCTCACTCGTGTAAGATATATCTATTACATGTTATCATTTGATGAACTTGCGTTCAATTGCGGAACGGATAATAGTTGATTGGCAAATGAAATAATACAATAGAAGGATCAACGAATATAAAAATAGATGAAGAATAGATTCGTTTTTTCTTTTACGAAAAGAATCTTTTGTATTCTTTTTGATTTACTCCTCCGCACAAGCACATACTGACATTTTCAAAACTAACCCAACAATAACAAACTATACTATGTTATTATTGATTTATCAAATCTATTGATGGCAAATAAAAGAAAAGGAGAAGCTTTTCATGGATGATGCCATTTTCAATTTGATGCCGTTTGAACTTTATATATATGAGATAGATTACAATAATATGTGGAATTTAAAAAAGAAATCTAATTGAAATCGTATGGTAATATTATCCTTGCATTTCGTATGAAACAGTTTTTGTAAACTAAAATCATTTGTGTTTGCATCATTCGTATAATTATTAAGGTATTTATTGAAAAAAAAGAAAAACAATATTAATTACAGAATCATTCGAAAAAAAAAGAAATTTCTAAATTACGTCAAAAAAAAACAACAAACTATAAAGCATTCACACAAATCACTGTTATTTATGCTTCCCCAACGAAAAACACAAAACAAAAAAAAAAATTAGAATAAAATACATGTGCACACCGAGCTTATGCATAAATAAGCATCTGACATTCTACGATTGCACAACTATCATGGAATTTGAACGTGATTTTGATTGATTAATAATTGGTTGTGATTTAAATGTTGTTGATGAAAAAAATATATTTTGAAAAAATTCGTCAAGATTATGATTTGTTCGATTTTGATATTTATCAATAATTTTTGTTATACGTTTTTTTCGAATTGAATAAGCAGTTTGTGAACTTAAAGACGATAAAAAAAAAAGAAGAAATCAATCATTTATTTTCTTAATAAACTTAAAACAAACTTTTGACTATCTTCTAATCGTTTTCGACGACTTAAATTATTTACAGCTTGTCGAAGAAATAATGGTAATATATGTAATGGTAGAACCATACCATCAATTAATGGAATACTTGCACAGGCTGATTGTATTCTAAATAATAAGAAATGGAAAAGAAAGATATAGTTTATGTAAAAAAAATAAATAAGTTTTATACTTACCGTTGAGCATTAGAATTAAGTAATATACGAAATAAATGATTTTTTAATGGATGAATACCAATTATTGAAATATCTCGAGTTTTTGATTGTTGTTCTTGAACTATAATAATAATAATAATAATGAAAAAAATCTTTACTTTTCACATTGATTCAAGAAGAATCACTAACTAAAGAGTTTTATGTATAGAGTATTAGCTTCTATTCTTCTTCGATACATTGTTTATATGATAATTTTATTCACTTGAAAATATTATTTTTAACTTCTTACATAATGAGATTTACTCAATAGATATATTATCTTTATTTTCGAAAGAGCACAAAGTTAGTTAAGATTAATCATAAGTCATCAATTGAATATTCAATTACAAAAGTTGCAATGAAAAGGTATAACAGTGTATATTATATATCAACTAGCAATAATAATAAAAAAATCAATTACTAAAATAAATAGTAATAAGATTCGATTTAAAAATTAGTATTTCATATTAAAATTTTACATAATTGAAGACACATCTATATTAAATCTAAGTATGTTTTATTTATAGAAATTGAAAATATGAAAAAAAAACATATATACGAACTAGGTAGAATTGAATCAAGATCATCAGGAAATTCTTCAAGCCAAACAATTAATATTCGCATTTCTGAACTTTGATTATCAACAACTATAAATTCATACAGAAAAAAAAAGAACTAATTAAAATAAAAAAAAAAGAAGATTCAAACTAGAAAAATGATGAGGTAAATAAAAAGCCATTTCAGTTGTTAAATCAACCCAATATAAAATACTATCATCACCATCAATATCAATCAATGTTTTTGATGTTGAACATTTATTTAATTGAGTAACTGAAACTGTTTTCCAACTTGTTTCAATATCTCCTGTCCAACCACAATGACGTTTGACTTCAACAACTGTACCAAATTGTGAAACCATTGTTAGAAAAGATGGATTTAATTGTTCAGGTGTTTTCTATAAATAAATTCTAATAAAAATCTAACAAAAAAAAAGAAAATATTCTCAGATGTATCCGTTCACTTTTGACAAGAAACATAATTTATTATCTAGTACATAGAATTTACTAAAAAAACTCTAAATCAAACGGACATCTGTATATATATATATATTTCTATCTTTACCATATTTAAAAATGATTCATTAATTGTATATTGATTTCGTTTTAAATAAAATATTTGTCCTGTACAATAAAGTGTTGGTGAAATTTTATCAAGTTTTTTAATATCATCCATAAATGTTGTTATATTTGAATCAAGTAATTGAATACTTGGTTGTAGATGATGATCAATTATTCTTGATTCATTCTATTAATATTTATAATAAAATATTTAAAATTAATTATATTTGTTTTACCCATTCTTTTCCATTAATAATATGATGCATTGAATCTAATGAACAAAATCCATAATGTGATAAAAATAAACGAATACTTTCAAAATGTGTTTGACGTCTAAAAAAAAAATTTTCATTTCAAAAAAAAAAAACAAAAATCTCTCATACTCCTGTGGTTTGCATTCTGGTATTGGTTTTTCATTAGTTAAATATGTAGTACGTTGTAGAGCATATTCTTCAATTTTCATTTGTTTAGTTTTTAATGTTCGAAATAAATTTAATTTTTCTTCATCACGTTTAACAACAGAATTTAATGTTGGTATACTTAATTCACTAATACAAAAAAAAAAGAAAGAAAACATGATTTATGTTTTTTTTCCTCATTGTTTAAAACTTTATGTTTTAAATTCATAGTAGAATAATAAATAAAATAAAAAAAGAACAGAGTGAAGCATAAAAAAAACGTTTGGTTAGTTTAGTTATTTCTTTTTCAATATCAATAAAGAGACCCATATTATACAACATATAAAGCAGAATAAAATAGTTATGTTTTATTTGTTTTTTTTTTTATAAAAATTTACTTACGGTGGATGATAAAAACTGAAAGGAATTATATAAAATATGTTTTACGATATAATAGATAGAGAAGTTTAGTTAGATTAGTATGATATTACACTACCAACCTGTTATGACGAGATGAATCGCTAGAATTACTTTTTTTTGTTTTTATTTTAATTAACTTTCTCATAAGAAAACAAAAAAAATTTTCTCTAATATATTTACCTTTTTGCTCGTTCATTTCGTGTACTATGTGGTAGAATAAGTTTTTCTTTATGATCATTATTTAATGAACTAATAGTTGATGATGAAATTGTTTTGTCATTTTCATTTAATATTCGTTCATTAGACTAAAAAAATTTTGTTTTTTTTTTTTTTCATTTTGAATTATAATTAATAAATTAATTAGTTACTTTATTTCGATGTATTGATAAATTTGATTGAGGATTATAACGAAAATTTAATGTCCAAATATTTTTACCAAATAATCCACGACAAAGAAGAATTATTGCTGGCATATCTATTCAAAGAAAAGAGAGTTTTTTTTTTTTTTTAAGGCAAACATTTCTTCAAAGTATAATATGTTAATATTCGATATTTTTCGTGATATAAAATATGATTAAAAAGTAACAGGTCAGACCAACCGGGTAAATTTACTTCAAAAACTTCGACCGGTTTCATGTAACAGACTATTTTTAAATATATAATGTATACGTTACAATCGAATTTAACAAAAAAAAAATATCTGAATTGGTTGTATATGTGCTTTCACTTGTAAAGTATTTACGAATATAAAAAAAAGCTTTTAGCGCAATCCCTTGCGAGATTAAAAATGTGAAACACGATGTAACT